AGCATCCCTCTCTCCGACGCTGCGTTCCCAGCATCCCTCTCTCCGACGCTGCGTTCCCAGCATCCCTCTCTCCGACGCTGCGTTCCCAGCATCCCGTCCTCTGGCGCTGTTTTCCCAGCACCCCTCTCTCTCATGGTGCCTTCCCAGCATCCCTCTCTGACGGGTGTTCTCACGCCCCCCCTTCTGAGAGCGTGTTCCCAGGCTGACACAGCCAGCCTCGCACAGGTGCCATTTTTTCCCTAGTACTTTCTAAATGTCAACTCATTGCCAGTTCAAAGCATCCTTTTCAGCCCAGCCTTGCCTCTGCTGTCCCAGGACCTTACCTGGTGTCAGCACAGCCTGGGTCTTCCAAGAGAGGTAGCCAGAAGGTCACTCTCCAACGTGGCAAACGACTCACATGGACAATGATGGAGGCAGGGCCCCCACGCCTCCCGGCAGACCATCTCCAAGCCACAGACACCACCTTGTGACTAGACATGAGAACCCCCATCGTGCAGATGAAGGCATGGAAGGGATACTTGACTCTAGCATGATGACTACAGTTCTAGGAAGTGCTCTGTGGAAAAGGCCAATCTCAAAAGGTTAACACTGCATGGCTCTATCACGTGACAGTGAAATGACAGAACCAGAGGGCAGCAGGGGAGAGGCAACAATAGAGGGAAGACCGAGGTGTGGGTGCTGCGGATCAGACAGGACCCCACACAGGTACCAAGGTCACACAAGTCTAACCGACACCCTCACACCAGTACAAGTGAAAACACAAACGAAAGCAAACAGGCCTCAGGCCAGCAAGACTCGCGGGCAGCACTCTGCCAGGCGTGCTGGGTGGGGAAGGCCACTGATGCCCAGCCCTGAGCCTGTGACCTTGCAACTTTCACTTGGTAAAGGGGCTTTGCAGAGGTGATGCAGGGTCGTGAGACGGGGCTGACCCTGCGTTATCTGGGTGGGTTTGGGGGAGCCACCCGGCCTTACAGAGGGAGGCTGCAGGGTGAGAGTTAGAGAAGGGACTAAGGTGATGAGATGCTCCTCCTCTGGTAGGAGATGGAGAAGGGGTCACAATAAGGCAGGGCGCCATGTCGTCTTGGGCTTCTGGTGGGAGAGGGGGCTGAGGGGGCCAGTGTGCAGCCTACTGGTGATTTGGCTGGGACCCAGTGAGAATAGTTGTGGGGTTCTGACCTCCATGACTGTCAGATTATAAATGGGTACTATTAGAATCTCCTAAGTTTGCAGTTACTTGTTATAGCAGCAGTAATATTGTGAGAAAAGGAAATAGAGACTTCAATAGGTAGAAGATGTCATCTGTGTGGTGGCTCTCCTGGGCCACCATGGCTGAGGTGGCGCTGGGCATGAGAAGCTACCTGTTTGAACGGCAGAGACTGGGTCTGTACAGGGACGTTCAGCACCACCTTAACTCCTGAAAACCTGCCATTCCTGGCCACCGAGCTCTCATAGCACCTGGGTGTTGCATGCAGCTGACATAGCTCATCATCACAAACTGCTCCAGACGTGTCAGTCAAAGTCTGAATAAATCCTGGCTGTCGTTTCCATGGTGCGATCTCTAGTCTTCATGTTTGAAAACATGACTATTTTAGCTTACATTATGCCTGGACATACCAAGGTGTGAATTCTTTTGGTGGAAAAGATTTCGGATCAAACCAACATGTCTTTGGCCACATCATTCCAAATTTTAGTTTCTTCTGTAAATGTCTTAAATCTGTTTCCACACTCTCCAAGAGCATACCAAACTGACAGCTCTTAACAACAGGGAACAAGTGAGCTTCCTGTCAGAATGCTGATGACCTCAAATCCTCTCCGTAAGGTGTAAAACGCTGGATTGGGCACTTACATCCTCTGAGCAATTCTACAGGAGGATGTAATTATCCTGATTTCCTTTAGGGGTGAGTAACTTGCCCGTATTCCCACGGCCTATAAATAATAGTGTTGGGATGGAAGCTCCCGTGGTCAGATTGCTATGTTATGTGTCTCCCACCACAGTGACTGCTTCCGGGATGAATACATTAGGCAGTATGCTGGACCCACCCACCCGTCCACCAACCCACCCGTCCACCATCCTTCCATCCACCCACCCACATCCATCCATCCATGCACCCGTCCATCCACACATCTACCCGCCCACTCATCCATCCATCTATCTGTCCATCCTCCCACCCACCCACCAGCCAACTAATCAATAAAAGCTTCCAACAGTGAGTATGAGATCTCCACCAAAAGCTGCTATGTGGCCTAATTCTGAATCCATTACTTTCCACTTTGCTACATGGAGCTCAGTTGAGAGAAGAGCGCGTCATCCACAAGGCTGTATGTGGCCAGTACGTTGGCTAGGCAGTGACCTGGCTATTGCTTCTCTGTCCTTGGCATGGAGAAGGTGTCATATTTAGAATAGGAAGAAAATGATTCACTCTGTGTTGTCATGAAGACCAAACTGTGGCCACCGCTATAAACACAGAATTTGGAACCATTTAGCTTCTCCACATACCCATCTGGTCCTCCCAGATTAAGCACGACCAGCAATTCCAAGGTGCCATTCAAATTCAGACCCTCCGAGCTTGCTAAAGTGCCACCAGTACAAGCACCATCTGACCCAATTTCTCATATGGGATGCTTTCACGAGCAGGACCCCCATTCCCCGCTCAGCAGTGTTTCTGAAATTGTTTTGGCATTGCCGTGTAAGTAGTACATTGTTCCTGGGGCCTCCCTGGTGGTGCAGGTGTTAAGTCTTAGCACTATGAACCTGTCCACAGCCACTGCAGCACAAGTTCGATCCCCAGCCAGGGAGTGACCCACAGGGCGCAGCAGACCTCTCCTGTTTTCCCACTGCTTCCCCTCAGCAGTGTATTTCAGTAGATCCACCTGTTCTGCTCCCCACCCTGTTGAACCCTGCACTCCAGCTCTTGTATGCATAAATAAATCTTAAAAAAAACAAAAAAAGAAATTCATTGTTCCATGCAACCGACTCATGTGCGCACACAAGCCCCAGAGTACCGCCACACAGCCAACCACACGCGTCGCCTTCCTTTCTACTTTGCTCTGGATACTCCAGGCTAGTCTACTTGCTGGCTCCTTAATTTACTGTGGCTTATGTGCCTCTACGCAGTGGGCTGGGGACTGCAGCTTTTGCCAACACTGGTCTGGAAAACAAGGAGAACGGGTCCCTACCTCAGGGGCGATGTAATCTGGAGTCCCGCAGAAGGTCCTGGTCGTGACTCCGTCCATCATGTGCTCCTTGCACATCCCAAAGTCGGCAATCTTGATGTGACCCTCCGAATCCAGCATGACGTTGTCTAACTTCAGGTCCCTGTGGGGAAGCAGGATCGTGTCAGTGTCCATCCCACCACATCTGCAGCTAGTGACTGGCGAGCCAGGGATGCCTAGACCTGTCACTGTCTCAACGTTGTGTTGACTGTAGACCCCAGAAGAGCAGAGGCCAGGGTGACGGTGGTGTTTGGTGTTTTTAAGATCTCCTAATGGAGTGCCTAGGATACAGCAGGCATTTAATAAAAGCATTTGAGTGAATGACCACACAAGTGAACTAGTTATTCCCAACCACGGCTGTGCATTCAAGTCACGACGGCTTAGACTTTAGGTCTGGGAGACCCCGTCATTTCCTGAGTACCCCACACAGAGGATCTGACACCTGACCAGTCTTGCAAAATCAGTGGTTTAGAACAGTGTCATTGGGTCATACACAACGTTCCTTCTACACGTCCTTTCGATTACCCTTCAGTGGAGACTACCACCAACTGGAAGAATTTAACTCGTTCTGCCTCTGCCTGGTTCCCCATGGACACCTGCTAGGCATCTGTAACAGAAATTCCACCCTCCTTATTCCTTGACCTCTGTTCCCAATAAAAGGCAGAGGAAGGAGCAGTTGGCAGAGAAGGAAAGAATGTTTTCTTGCGTGATATAAAATCTTGCAAGGTCCAGGAATCAGAAGGCGGTTCCGATTTGCCTGGAGACTGCAGAGAAAGTGGGTCCTCGCAGGTCTTTGTTCCCTTGGGGTTTGTCAACTCCAGGTCTCAGTTCCCCTCACGGAACCCCACCCCCACAGATCCGAGGGTCTCACAAACTCTCCACAGTGCCTCTGGCGGCCGGGCACTCAGACGTACCTATAAATGATTCCTCGTTTATGAAGGAAGAACAACCCAATGGAAATCTCTGCTGCATAAAATCTGCAAAAGAAAACACGCTTCAGATTCTGGATCCTCTGGACCCCTGGCTACTTTTTTTTTAGAATCTGTTAAACATTTACTTAATGGTATATGTATAATTTAAATTTATTTCGTGTTAATTTTTTTGTTTTTTATATAATTTTTTATTATTATAATTTTTATTTTTACATCATTTTGTGCCTTTTCCCATCTCGGTTGTCATCCCCGTGGGCTTCCCATCACCAATTCACCCGTGTGCCATCACCACAGTCCAGCGCACCCCCCCATTTTTGATCCCATTCCCCCACTCACCCCTATAAAATGTCTCTGGTGTCCATTATACTCCTGCCATGAGTGGAACCATCCAGTATTTTTCCTTTTCTTTCTGGCTTATTTCACTAAGCATGATCCCTTCCAGCTCCATCCATCTTGCTGCAAAAGGCATGAGTTTATCATTTTTGACTGCTGGGGCTCCTGGATACTTTTACTGTCAAGTTCAGGGATTGAAGAGGTTAAAGGGAGGAAGAGTCCAGGCTTCTCAGAGTCACCCTGTAGTGCTCTTGCCATCATTCTTCCCCCTTCTCTTTGCCATTTGTTATACCAACCACCCCCCCACCCCCCATGACAATGTGGTTAAACCCCAACACATTGGCTTATTACTGGAAAAAAGTGCTTTCTGTTTTCCTGGACAGATAGGTAATTTACTACTCAGAAAGACATTTCTAATATAACCTAACTATATTAGAATTTCTAGAGTATTTTTATTGCAATCTAATATGATCTCTTGGCTATCTTTAAACTCTTCCACGTCAGGACTATGGTGGGGTAGAGAAAAATCTCGTTTTCCTATTCAAAGACAGAAGACAACACAGTTACTCCCTTGAGGACCAAATCGCATGTGACAAACTCTTCAGCTGGTTTACTAATCCCCTCTCCCACCTGCTGGGAGAAATGGGGCATGAACAGTGACCCCTACCCTTTTACATAATTCATAATAAAAAGCAGTGACTTCCATGCCGCCAAAACTGTCCCTCGGCTAAGATCTGCAACTCAGAATAGTTGCAGGGTGTTTAAAACCTGCAGAGCATTGAGGGGTCTTTGAAGTCTGAGAAGCCACAAGACCTCCGGAGCCAACCTCACACCCAGGACGCTTAAAAGAAGTGCGTCCGTCTACACCTGCAGAGAAGAGAGCCATGGTCGGGGCCAGATCCTTAACAGCAGGACCACCGGGCCACTGGCAGAGGCCGGGTTGGGGGGGGGAGGGGCCAGCAAGCCACTTTGCTATCACTCTTCATGCTTTTCTGTATTTTCAACACGAACTTTTCTAGCATCCGCAATGCAAACAGGAAGGCAGAGAGCCAGTCGAGCCATCCTGACGGCCCTTGTAACCTGCAGGGTTTCTGGTCTGTTTCTTGGGCTCGACAGTTGAGTGCTAGCCTGCGTTATCTTATGATCCACGGTTTATTCCTGTATCATGAAGGGCCCAAGTGAGGGGTGACGGGCGGGTCTTTCTGAGAATGAGAAGTGGAACAATCAGAAAAATGGCCTTTCACCTGCTTGTAGTCAGTCGGCCCCCACAGAACTTCCTATTCTGCCGCCAGTTAATGTCCCTGGGGACAGATCATCCCTCCATGCCGAAAGTTTTTCAGATTTATCTTGGAGACAGCACGTCAGCCAGAATCCTATTAACATTTGCTAAGTTGATTCATCAGGTTGCCCGCCTGCCGTGCTGCCTCATTTAAGGAAAGGAAATAGCTATTTGCTTAGATTTGCTGCTGTTGACTTCCTGCCCCCGAAAAGTGGGATGATTTTTCAGCTACCAAATTGGTGCTCTCTGGATGGGCAGCTGTCTGGGCTACGTCTCTCCTGCCTCTGGCACCCACCGCGCTTCCCAGTGAAACCTTCCAAGCTCGTGATTCTTCCCTCAAACCACCTTCTGGAAGGCGAACGCCTCCCAAACCTCCAATCCGGTGGCATCACCTACAGAGGCTTCTCTCCCCTCACTGCCACAGTCACCAAGCTGTTTCTTTCCCTTCCAGGATGTGGTTCAAGCACATGCTCTCTGCCCTGGCTCCAAGGTCAAATCCTAGTTACAGCTCCACTCCTTCCCTGCATGGGTCCTCGGCCCCTGCACCAGCCTGCAGCCTCCACGCTCTGCCCCCCACTTTGGACCAGGGCACGCCGTGAATGCTCACGCTCCCAACGTCAGCACCACTGCTGCCTTCCAGCTTCCCTGCCCGCCCCCAGGAACTCCGCAGGGCTGTGCATCTGCAGCCCCTGAAGCCCCCCACCTCCCAGACCTGAAGTCAGCCCCCCATCTCTGGGCTGGGAATTCCAAGGCTGGGAATCCCCTTGGAGGTGGGGCTTGTGTGGTGTCCTGTGTCACCTCGAAAGTCACAGCAACACAGTCTAGTTGCCAAGAGACTTCTCCAAGTCCCGAAGCGGGGAGCCCTCATTCCTTCTGTTCTGTGCCCCCACATCTGGTGCCTGTGCGTGTGCAAGGAGCAGAGGTTCAACCAATGAGGGCTCGGTTGACGAGGCTGGGATGGGTGACCAGGGGACACACCAGCATCTCCAAGTCACCGGAAGCAGAACAAACCCCTCCTTAGGAAACACCGAGAAGGACCCTGCTAAGGACACTGCCTCCCCGGCCCAGCACTCAACCCGACTGGACAGTGCCTTGCCTCCCTGTCACCCCGCCAATGTTCCCAACTGGGGGCCCCCTCTGGGGGGACCTGAAGGAAACACTCACACTGCTTGCGGTTCCTTGAACTTTCCCACTTGCTGAATGTGATACATCAAGTCTCCGCCGTTGACATACTCCATGACGAAGTACAGCCGGTCCTAGAGAGCAAGTTGGACAAATGAGCAGGGCTCCTGAGGGGGGCCTGGGGTCCCTGCCCTCATTACGGACTGCGCTGCTTTCTCATTAGTAGACTGTGGGCTGCACTGGGGCAGGGGGTGCTCGGTGGAGCCCTTCAAATATTTTTCCCTGTAAAGAATAAGTAATAAACTCTGTTCTCCAGGGGCCTGGAGAGCACAACGCCATCACCTAGCTCTGCCAGTGTGCTTGACCCCTCCTGGTTACGGATGCCCCCATTACAGTAATGGCCTCCCCCTGGGCCACCCTCACCCCCACATGGGAGATACATCGCTGAGTTAGCGCCGGTGCGGAGAATCCATACGGATCAATTATTTAATTGTAATGAGGGGTGCTGGTTTGCCCGGCCTGGGCGGTATGGCTCAGTCATGTTTCAGTGTGCTACCTGCTTGCTTCTGAAAACCAATGCTGAGTTCAGGGGGCGGGGAGCCGGTCAGTGCTCCCTGCTCAGCACCGTGGCGAGGGCGCCGCAAAGCCAGAGGCTGAGCAAATGTTTTTTGCTGCTTGCTGGATATGCCCTGGGAGGAAGAGAACCTGTTCACATATGAGGACGCTGTGCCGAGACAGGTGGGCTTCAGAGAGACCACTGGAGCTCTCTGGGCCACACACCAGGGTAGAAGCCCCTTCTGCTCTCTTCCAGGAAGCTCAGCGTGGGAAGGGGATGGTGCTAGAGGTTAGGCCGTGGCCCTGGAAGTTTCTGGCTCTCATGTTCTTGTTACTTAGTTCTACCCCGCTTTGTAATTTTTTGGAGTTTAATCAGGAAAGCCAGGGATGCGGGCTTTGGGCTGGGATTTGATACTGTGGCTTTCTTTCTAGCACACCGCTCTTTCCCCAGAGCTCCTTGCGCGCAGGGAGCTGACCGTCCACACTGCCAGTGACCCTCAGGGGTTGGGCCTGGCCCTGCAGGGACCTGTGTGGCTGCAGGGCCACTTGGAGGCACTGAAATCCAGGAGCCCTGGGGGTGCCTCCCAGGAAATGGTAAAGACAGACTTAACCCAGGAAGCAACTTCTGACCAGAGAGAAGTGGAAGATAGCAATAATCGTAACAGTAACAAATATAGCTATGGATGACTGAGTCACAGCTTAAAAAAGAGAGTCTCCAGGAGCGGCAGGCCTATCTTTGGGAGAAACTCACTAGAAATAAATTTTTTTGTGTCTTGCAGGCCACTTGCAAGTATCTCGCCAGGTCGCGGCCCCACACCTGGCTGACAGGCGCTCTGGAATTTTTTGTCCTTGGTTCTGTATATTCTAAGACAGGGCTCAGCACATTTTACTATGTAAAGGACCAGACAGTAAATGTTTTAGGCTTGTGTGCGTCTTTCTTGCAACTGTTCAACTCTGCCTTTATGGCAGGAAAGGGCCTGGAGACAATACACAGATGCACAAACACGCTGGCCTTGAGACTACTCTTTAGGGACACTGAAATTGCATTTCACCCAATTTTCATGTGCCATGAAATGTTTTAAACCTTTGCTCGGATCTCAGGGGCCTTATAAAAAAGGCCAGACTGCAACCGGCCTGGGGTGTACAAAACAGGGGCCTTGGTATCCTTCAGCTCGGCGAGTCTACTGAAGCCCCAGTGCAAGCCGGGCGGTTGTGTTGTCGGTGACTTAGGACGCCAGGCCCGTCAGTTATTTCTTTTGTTTTCCCTCTCTTATTGCCCTCCCTGTTGTGAAGAAAACCTTGGCTACACATACTTCCTGAATCAAAGGCCTAGCCTCTGAGAAGGGGCATCACAGAGAGAGGACACCTCAGATCTGTCAGAGACACCCCAGCAAGAGGATGTCCAGGCACGTGGGCTCAGCGGAGGAGAATCCAGAACCCCGTGGCTCCGGCCTTCCGCAGCCTTCCCCATGTCAGGGAGGCTGACGGGGCCCGGGGGGCTCCTGGGGGCACCCGTGCGCTGGGCCCCACACGACCCGGGGCCTCACCACGGTCTGGAAGCAGGAGTGCAGCTGCGTCAGGAACGGCGGCTTGTCCAGCAGGGCCAGGACACGCTTCTCCACCATGGTGCATTCCACGTCGTCATCTTGAATGACCACGTCCTTCTTCAGGATTTTGATGGCATACAGTTCTTCTGTGCCCTTCCTGTCAGCCAGCATCACCTGCGGCGGGGGAGGACACCCTGAGAACGCCTGAGTTCACATCTGGTGCTTGGGAGGGGTGGGCGGGGGGGGGTCCCCGCGGAGAAAGTGCACGCAGGTTTGTCAACGGGTGGCATCAGGCCTCACTCCACATGCAAATTCTGAAGCCCTGCCACGCCACCTCATGTCACGGCACTGAGTCCCACGGGGCTGGGCTGTTTCTGGGCTGTCAAGGTTGCCTGCTGCGGGGGCTCTCGCCACGTGGTGGCGCTATTGTGGCTGCTAAAAGGGCCCTGCAGGTGCGCGCCGGTGGCCTTGGGCCCTGCAGGTTTTACAGGAGCTTCCTTGTAGCAAAACGGCCGGAATCTCTACGCTTCTCATGAGTAGGAATCAAGATGCAACCCCCCACCCAAAAAAAAAAAAAAAAAGAAAGAAAGCCAGGGTCAAAATGAACCAGTTTCCTGGCTCTGTCAGATTTGGGGTCACAGAAGCAAACACAGACCCAGCTCAGTGTCTCACATCGACTAACGTTTGCTTTCCACATCTGCTTAGCACAAGCCAGTGCTTTGCTCTTAGGAGTGACGGTGATTCACCCCAATCTCCTGGAGTACCCCTCCCCTGCTCTGAACACGGCGGGGGGCGGCAGCGGGGACACCCCAAAAGCCCCTGGCTTGGGGACCAGCCATTTTTAATTAAATGACTCAGGCACCTGAGACAGGTGGACAGCGAGTAGGGACCCCAAGAGGCTGCTCTGGTTACCCCGAGAGGATGGGGCCCACCCAACCCCGCTCACCAAAGCCTGGCCAGCCGGGGCCTGGCCCTTACCTTTCCAAAGCTCCCCTTCCCCAGCACCATGAGGAAATTGAAGTCGGTGAGTTTCACCCTGTCCAGGTTGTTGGAAGGCTGTCTCTCAGACGGCGTGATCACCTTGTTACCGGCAGGGCCGAGCTTGGCTTTCTAGACAGGCACACAGTGAGAACAGTCAGTGCCTTTCCAGGGAAAAGGGGGTGTGGACCCCAGGGCCGTGGGAGGAAGCCAAGGGGGAGCGGGGGGCAGGGTGGGAGGGGATGAGGCACCCCGTCTTACGCAGGGACTCCCCCCCGACCCCTGCCCCGGATATGAGTGTGTGTGTGTGGGGGGGGAGCCCTCCCTGGGAGCCAGAGCCTGCTCTCGCCCACGGCCAGCAGCTCCCCACACTGAGCCAAGAGCCAGGTTCTGAGCTCAGCCGAGGACCCCGCTTGGGGGCTAAGACTGAACTAGGGGAAAGCGGGGCCTCTCGCAGTGAAGGAGATAAACAGGGAAACTGTGAGGCTCTTCTGTGGGGTGGCCTTCAGATGACTGCCCTGGAACACTGGGGCCCACGCAGGATGGGGGGCGCCGTGCTCTGAAGCGGAGCCCCTCCACTGGCACATGTGGGCGGGTTACTGCTGCTGACGAGGCACAGCCGGCTTTGTTGTTTTAAATCAAGAACTGAACCCCGCCAGGCTGGGGCGCCCCGTGGCGCACAGCGAGCCCCGTCTGAGCCTGAGGCTACGTGCTCCACGCCAGTGAGTGCCCCCTGTTATAAGCTGGGCTCGTGCCACCCAGCGGCCCTGGAGAGACACCACCCTCATCCTCCCCTTTGGGGTCACAGTGCCCCGTCCGCGGTGGGAAGGGGGAGAGAGAGAGGCTCAACAGGACAGGCGGCCCACAGGGTCACAAGGAAACACCCCCACAGCCCGCCCCGGAGCCTGCAGAGAAACAGGAGCCGCAGGGGAGTCGAGGGCTGAGGCCTGGGCCGGCAGAGAGCGGACTCTGACTGTGGAAGCCCAGAAAAGAGGGCGCGGGGCCCCACTGCCGCAGGCCAGAGGTGGCGGCTGGGGTTTGGACACCCTCAAGCCAGGACCAAGAGCTTCGCTATGCCGGCCCAGTGCTGGCGAGATTCCTTCTGAGCTCCGGGGGGCAAGTAGGGCCTGTCCTGTTTTTTCAGCAGCAGAGGATGCTCCTCCACGCCGCCCCGAGCTGCGGCACCCTCGTGATCGCCAGCCCGTGGCCTGGCAGTGGGCTGTGACTTGGCTGGAGGTGGAAACTGAAATCAGCAACTATGAGGGGCGCCAACTCCTGGTCAACTAAAGGACACGAGCCAGGGGCCAGGCTCAGCTAGGCTGACCGAGAAAAGTAGTAAAGCTGGAAGTCGATGGTAACACTGAAACGCTCACTTTCTAGAAAACAAGGCTCTAAGTAGAGAGGGTCACTTAAAAAAAAAAAGATGTATTTATTTATGCATAGAAGAACTGGGGTACAGGACAGAGGTGGGGGGTTCACCAGAGGATTCACCAGAGACAGAGTGGGGAGCAGAACAGGCAGATAGACTGAAATCCACTGCTGAGGGGAGCAGTGGGGAGGCAGGAGAGGTCTGCTGCGCCCTGTGGGGCAGCTCCCTGGCCAGGGATCGAACTGGGGCCGCAGCCATGATAACACTGAGACTTCACCCTAGGCTACCACGGAGGCCCCACAGGGGCACTTTTAACAACGCTCCTGTCCGCAACACACAGGCAACACTGAGTCCTACAGCAGCTGCACACCTCCATGCCTTTCTCTGTAAAAGTGCTTGCAGACAGGATCCAATTCTCCCGGGGTGCCCCCAAATCCTGGCAGCGTCCCCAGAGCTCTCTGGAGCTGCTCCCGGTTCAGGGCCCCGGTCTCAACTTGAGTCTACTGGCTCAGTTTACTCCAGTCCACAAAGGCTGAAGACAGGGAGCCGGATGTGCTCATCAGGTGCTGTGCTCTGCTGGGCGAGGCGCTTCTCAGACAAAAAGAACTGGGCGTGACAGGGATCAGATCTCAGGCCCGAAGGCTGGCTCTGATGGACACAGCCCCCCGCGTGTCCAGCCACGGGAAATATGGGGGAAAGAGGCCCCTTTTTGCTTTGAGGCTGACAGTATTTAATCTACCTGTGCTGCTCCCTTGCCGGCAGTGTGTGGTGGGAAAGTCACGTGACCTGGGGCACAGGCGCCCTGAGCTGCCCCTGGGCTTCCACCCCTTGACACAGCATGGGAAGGGGCTTGGAGGTGCCGCTTTGGCACAGACTTGTGAGGAAGCAACAGGGGTTAACCAGCGTCCCAGTGCGAGCCAGCCCCACCCTCACATCACTGCTGGGGCTGACGCCTGGCTTGAGTCCAGATGCGAGTGAACCATCGGAAGTTCAGGTGCAGAGGAGGATGATGCCATGCTCCTCTGATTTATAAGACAGAAAAGAGGGCCCTCCCTGGTGGCGCAGTGGGTGAAAGCACAGTAGAAGCTAAGGCCACTTCAGTGC